CTTTCAGGAGTTTGACTCCCTGCAGTTGTCACATGGAGAAAGCATGCCTGCCCCTCCGAGCCATGGGAGCTGGACGCCATGCATAGCTAAGTGCCTGGCACAGCCCCTGCCACGTGGCAGGAGCTTGGTAATGACAGTAATGCAGAGCTTGTTGATGGGAAGCAGCTCGGCCAACGTGGCCGTGCCACCCACAGGACTCTGCAGGAATCCCACTCAGTCGGAAGGACGGAAGGATGTTTCCTGTGCAGGTGGCCGTGGGCAGGGTGATTGGGGTCCGTCCCCCCCCAGCCTCCGCCTGTCCCCAGGCTGGTGGAGGAACTCTGATGCCGAGGCTTCTCTTCCTGAGGCCTGTTTCCTGCATGATTCCTCTCTCTGTGTCCTGCAAGCGATGCTTCCACGTGCTGGGAACCAGCACTGTAGCCGAGTCCAGTTCCGACTTCTCGGTGACGTGTGCTATAGCGGAACCAGCCGCGTTGCAGTTAGCCGTCTGGCTGGTGGAGAAACTCTGACGCCGAGGCTTCTCTTCCATGTGCTGGGAACCAGCACTGGAGCCGAGTCCAGTTCCGACTTCTCGGTGACCTGTGCTGTAGCGGAACCAGCCGCGTTGCAGTTAGCCGTCTGGACGGGCAGGGCCGACGGGCAGTCCAGGGGTTGAGAAGGTGGACGTGGGACAAACGTACTTGTCTAATCCCATCTCCTCAAGTTGCCTGCTCCTGGGCAAGCTGTATCCCCAGCTGCCAAATAAGAATCGTTGTGTCTGTGTTTCACTTAATCCTTTTGTGAGCATTTGGGAGCTGGGGGAGCTTCCAGATAAGACCTCCCCGAGCTCCTCTCTTAGGGTGGGATCCCATCCTGCCTGCACTATGGTTATTCGTACCCTTACTTCCCCGGCTAAAAGGAGCGTTAAAAGCAGACAGCTCCCGGCTGGCCCTGTGGGTCGGGTCTGGGTCTTGGGCCCGGCCCTCCGGAACCTGGGCCTGCTTTACCTGCGCTGCCTGGCCTGTCCTGAGCACCTTGCGTGGGTTTCTTACATGTGCATCCAGGAGGGTCCCTCTACCTGGAACGCCCCCTCCCCAGACTTGCCTCCTCAGGGAGCTGTTAGCACGACTGCAGAATTTCCAGAACGTAAACGTGCTTTTGCAAGTGCCCGGTAACTGTGGCAGCTGCCCACGGTCACGGCTGGGTGAGTGGATGGTGTTCTGAAAGAAACAGAAATCCCTCAGTGTGACGATGGCGGCCAGCATGGGTCCGGTCGCACGGACGTGTGCCCGGGCGGCCAGCTGTTTTCCCTCCCAGTTGCTGATGCGCACCCTCTGGCCTGCTGCTGAGGCCACCCCACGGCGTGGGAGGAAAGTGATGAGAGGAACTTCAGCTGCCTGGCTCCCTCTGAATGGCCCTTTCATCAGGATGTGCAGGGACAAGGGCCTTTTTCAACCCAAATATCAGGGGGAGACGAGAGTGCCACCAGAGCCATTTGCTCTCTGGGAGGGAGCATCATCCGAGGCCGAGGACTCCTCGCAAAGGACACCAGCCTCTTCCTCACCTGCCCGCCTTCTCCTGGGGCGTGGGAGGCAGGGGCTCGGGGTCGCCAACCATTGATCACCGCCGTCATGAAGCTTTTTTGTTTTACCGATTTCTGCGTCTCCCTTCAGCCACCTCCTTGCTTCTGCTCTCCAGAGGTTTCCAGCCCAAATTAGTACGTACCCCCTGCTGGTCTCTGTTCTCCTGCCCCGGCTGGGTGACGGGATGAGTGGCTGCTGATGCTCTGAGGGCTGGGGTTTTCTTGAGGAGCAGCAACTGAGGTTTTTCTCTCCGTCTTCAGTGCCTCGTAGAGACTTTAATCTCGCAGCGGCGGCCGAAGCGGCAGGAGCCAGTGTCTGAGAACATGTTTGTCCCATGGAGATAACATTGTCCCGTGGAGATAACAGCCGTGGGGGTGGGGGTCGGGAGGGCAGGGGCTGGCTTTGTTGTTACTTCAAGATTTTCCTTACAGCGACGGAAGGAAACAGTTCAGTTTTGTTCGTCTGGGTCTGACTTCTGGGACTTGAGTGGCTCTTTTTAGGAAGCCAGCATCTTTGAGGGGATGCAGGTTTTCTGTAGCCGGGATGGGTGGTTGGTGGGTTTGAGCTGCCTGC